GGGCAAAGGCAGTGTTTTAAATAGTATAGTTTTTGTGTGATATTTTGGGTGTAAGCTAGCTGGGTGGCCAGGAAGAATAAGCGGCCTCTCCCCCTACAATGTGGATTTGGATGGGAAGGGAGGTGGGAGGATCTTGGAGAAGTTGGTGGCTATTGTATGGAAAAGGGATATTTTCTTTATATTTATTTTAAATAGCAACCACATGTCCCTCTCACCCCTCCTCCCTCTTTCTCACCTACTTCCCCACTTCCTATTCCCCATCTACTCCTGCAAAAGTATAAGGCTTCCTGTAGGGAATCAAGAAAGCCTGGCATACTAAGTTTAGGCAGGACCAAGCTCCTATCCCCTGCATCAAGGTTTACCAAGGCATCTTACCCTACGGAATGGGCTTCAAAAAGCCAGCTAAAGCACTAGGGATAGATCCTGGCTCTACTATCAGGGACCCCTCAAATAGACCAAAGCTTCACAACTGTTGCCCACATGCAGAGGGCCTAGTTCTGTCCAATATAGGCTCCACAGTTGTCAGTCCAGAGTCATTGAGATGCCACTAGCTTCAGAAAGCTGTCTCTGTGGGTTTCTTCATCATGATTTTGAACTCCCTTGCTCATATAGTCCATTCTCCTTCTCTTCAATTGGACTCCCAGAGCTCAGCCCAGTGCTTGGATATGGCTCTCTGTATGTGATTTCATCAGTTACTAGATGAAGGCTTTATGATAACAATTAGGATTATAAGGGAATAATAGAGCAAGTAGAGTTAAACTGTGCTGGGGAATATAGAGGAGGATAAAAGAGGGAATATGGGGGAATGAATAACATTAAAAACCTTTTAAAACAGACATATGGAAATCTATGACATTAAAGTCTTCCAAATATATAGACCAAGATAAAGAAAAATATACACATATACATAAAAAGTTAGTGGACTTATTCTATCATAGGGTAGCAATGACTATTAGACAATCATAAAACATGATGAAAACAGGCTGTTTCAAACCTAGATGCTTCATTTTCTTTTATAATGCTGGAAGATATATTGCTACTGAAGGAGAAAATAATCATCAATTATACCTAGTTCTGAAACCTGTGAGTCATTAATAATTACTGACTAGGCAAGACACACCTACTGGTGCAATAGTAACATTAACATCACAAGAGTTGCCAATCGCAAAATCAGTGGATTTAATTATAACTCAAAAAGATGAAACCTGTAACTGGCACCATTATTAGTCTAATAACTTAAAGCTAGGCAAGTAATAGGCTGGAAGAAATAACTACTATTATTCTGATAAATGAACAAAATATTTTATATAGACTCCAATGATTTAGTATAATACTTATAGACCAATGCATTTTAACACCAATCAAGAAGCTTTAATTTGCAGTAGATACTGAGTGTGGTTGTTTGAACAGGTACAACCCCCATAGACTTATATATTCAAATACTTTATCAACACTTGGTGGAACTATTTGAGAAGGATTAGGAGGTGTGGCATTGTTGGAGGAGTTGTGTCACTGGGGGCTTGTTTTGAAATTAAAATAATTCACCCAATTCTCAGTTTGCTCTCTTGGCCTGCTATTTGTGAAATAAGATGTGAGTCCTCAAATGTTCCTACTATCATGTCTTTGATCAGCTATCATAAACTCTAACCCTCTGAAAGTGTAAACATGATTAAATGGTTCATTTATTAGTTGTGTTGGCCATGGTGTTTTTGTACTGTAATAGAAACACAATCAAGACAGTGATAAACACAGAGACACATAGTTGGTCAAGTTGAGAGATTAAGATACTAGAGAAACCTCACGCCTAAAGTAACATGTATACCTCACCACTCCTCACAAGGCTAGCGATCAATACACAATACAGGGGGGGAGGGGGAATGAGAGCCAGAGACAGTGGATGACTATAAGAAAACTTCTAGACATAGCAGGGCATCTGCACAAATGAACTCACGGTGGTTGCAATAGCATGCAGAAAACCTTTACAAGCTGAAAACAAGAAATCACAGCATAGAGGGGGAAATTTAGCATACAATCCCACCCCCCAAAATGAAGCTAACTGGCAATTGGTGGCTGATGGGAAAGGGAGAATCAATCTCTGGGAATTGGACCACAATTCAATGAAAGAAGATGCATCCAAGAATATGTGGGCATCACAAATTGGTCTTAATGAGTCAAAAAAAAAAAAAAAATAAGACACAAACCTAAGTGGGTAGGAAAAGAGGACTAGCACAGGAAAGAGTTGGGTCAGAGAGGTGAATATGATCAAAACCTGTTATTTGGCATCCTTAAAAAAATGAAAATAATTTTATAGTTAAAATATGGTATTTTGTATATCTTTTAAGTACAACTCTCACCCAACATATGAACATGACCTGAAAGATCTGGGAACCATTTTTTTTTTTGTAAACAACTACTCATGGAGATAGTGCATTCACCCTAACAAATTTGAAACACCAATTTAAATGTTACATCTTCACTGGAATCTTTGTATGAGTGTATTAATCAAATAAATTTCTTCTTCTTTCTATATTTTTCATAGTACTTTATTTTCCTGCATCCTTACTGCCATATACTTCAGATTAGAGTCACTTGTATACTGATTTGTCTTTTCTATACCTTCTATTTTAAACCATAATGAAATTCAGGGATTTTTAATTCCTCTTTTTAGAGACAAAAACATTGACCTTTCATTGCTAAAATATCATGCATTGTTAAGTCAATATCAAAACTATAATCTCAAATAATTAATTAAATAAAAAAGTATACTAGTGATACTTGTTTATGAAAAGCCTGTTATTTGCTAGGTGCTTCAAGTCATTAGAAATCTATGTATCAAAATACCAAATGACTATTAGCTTAATTTTTTATTACTAACTCTGACTTTATGCTATCATGTAAAAGAAAATTTAGTGTATATTCCTTACATAACCCACATAATGAATATTATTACTGAACTAAGTATATTTTGTTTGTCTGATAGTATCTAGTACCAACCATGTAAATAAAAGCTTAATTATTCTCTAAGAGCAAATTTTCCTTTGGGTTATATATTCCATTTCCCAGTTCTATTTAAACCATGAACATTCAGGAAGACCATGACCATAACTAGTAATTAGGCCATAAATTTTGCTGAGTTTGATCTCCCTTGTCAAGACCATGTACTTATTTTTCGTCTTGGAAGGCACTAAAATAAACTAAAGTAGAAAAATGAGAAATCTGGCCTAGTCTTTGATCTCATTTCAAATCCTGAGATAGCAAACCTAAAGACATAAAAGACATATTGGTCACTCAGAATAGAACAATATGTCACATAAAATTCTTAAAATAAATTTATATTTGTAATGTAAACTTTTAAAACTGTAATTTATTAATTTGTAGTTTATCAAGCATTTTAGTTATGCAGGTTATAAAAACTCAAAAACTTATTACTTGATATTTATTGTTTCAAATTCTTCCTTTATAACAACATTAAACTTCAAAAGTATTCTTTTCTTAAACTGATCACATTTAAGATAGTTTATGTCTGAATTTCAGCATGAACTTTTAGGCCCTGGAACATAGAAGCTCATAGCTCTTTCTTTATGTCTTCATTTTAATATATTTTAGTATAATGACAAGATCAAGACAAAGTCTTTTTATAACACGGTGTTGATGAGAAAACAGAATACTAAAAAGATCAACTCTTTGGACTAAGTCAAATATAAGAGCAAACTTTAAGGCATATATTCAATAGTACTATGATTTGGGAAAATAAACTTTTCTATACTCCCACTTCTTTATTTTTAAATATTAGAACAACTTTCCCACTGTATTTTGATAAGAATTGTAAGACCCAGCATTCTAGATAATCTGAATGAATAAAATATGAATTTTCAAATTATTTCCTGTTAAACTGCAACAATGTTAAATAGAAGAAAAATACCACTTGCTGAAAGAAGTCTATAATTCACAAAGAAATTGAAAGTTTATGTGAGAAAACTCAGACTCATTTTACATACTATTATAATTAAATCCTTTAACACCTTGAGACAATTTTCCATTTCCCTTGAAAATTAAATCATAACATTCTGTTTATACTTGCGCTTCATTGTTTTGAGTTTAAATGTAGAGTTAGCTTTGGAGCCATAGTTCCTGGAACCAACATTGGTTGCCTCAATTGTTATTTTTCTCTAAACTAAATCTTAGTCATTAATTTTTTTCATCTATTTATCAACATATGCTGATAGTTACCATCACATACTTTGAAGCTGTCAGAGTACTATATCATATGATAATGGCTAGGATACAGTTATCATAGGATAAATGATAAAAAAAAAACAAACATTACGAGATGAGAAGACATGTGACTATACAAGCATATCTCTCTCTCTCTCTCTCTCTCTCTCTCTCTCTCTCTCTCTCTCTCTTCTGTCTTTCCTTCTTTTCCAGCTCTCTGTTGTACTTCTTTTCAACTTGGCATGGTCAACAATTCTTTGAGTTCACCAGAACCACCTTGATTCAGCTAAGCAAATGGTTTTACAATTCTTAAAAAGACTGGTTCAAGAAACCTGGAGTATGGACTGTGACTTTAGTTTTTAGAATGAAAGAGCAAGAAGTGTGGTTTGCATCAAGAACAGGGCACAGATTTTAAGACAGGGAGAGCAACAACTAATATAAGATTTAGAACTAAATTGCATCACAGAAAAACAGTAGAAAGATGGCAGGCAGGATAGATAAAGGAGAAGAATGGAGTGTATTTAAGGTCAACCTGGGTTGTGTATGGAAAGCTTGTCTCACAAACAAAAACAGAAATTTCTAAATGTTTATGAAATGTGAATCTGAGGTTATAATTGGCAATAGTTTTCTAGCTTGAGTATACGCATTACACGTAAGCTAAAGGTTCTTTCCAAACTATTTATAATCAAAGCACAGATAATATTCTTGGTTCACTGTTTCTCCTCTGTTAGATTCTGTAATAAAACAGTAAGTGTTGTCTTTTGGTAACTGCTGAAAGATTTCACCTGTGTTAGAATTAAGGTCATCTGGCTCTGACTCAGTCCCATTTTGGCTTCCATTTCCCTGAAGAGTATTCATCGCCATAAGCTTCATCTTCTGGAGCTTCATTGCCTCAGCCATTGCTGCAGCTGTTATACCTAAATCAGAACCATCAATTTAAAAATGGGAATTATTTCTTAATGACAGAAAAATATGTGCATAGTTATTTAACAAGAATATGCTGCATGATGCAAGCAGAAAAGTAAATCACAAGTAAGCAATGAAAAATAAATATTCAAAAATGCATTTTCAACTCATAATGACTTATAACAAAGAGCATGAAAATATAAAGAGATTAAAATATAGGTCTGATTTGTAATTAAAAAAATAACTAAATAGGTCAAATATTGCAATTGTTAACTTGATTTTAAGTAAATAATTATTAACTACAAGAAGGGAAAGCAATCCAAGACTTAATATATGTGTGTGCAAAAATGAAATTAAGAATATTTATGAACAAGATTCTTCACATATTTTTAATTTGTTGACACAATGAAAAGTTTCAATATTTATGTGCCTGTCTAATCAAATACCATCTGTATCCTGTGCAAAGTAATATCAGGGAGCAGACTCTAAATGTACTATTAACCTGGTGAAGAATCATGTCATAATAGTCTTAGAAGGAAATTGAGAAGGCCACTTGTTGGTTCCCGGCTGCCCAGCTAGCTTACACCTGAAACAATCACAAAGAAACTGTATTATTTAAATCACTGTTTGGCCTACTAGCTCTTGACTTTTAATGGCTAACTCTTACATATTAACCCATCTCCATTAATCTGTGTATCGTCACATGGCAGTGGCTTACCGACAAAGTTTTGTCAGTCTGACTCTGGTTTCTCTCTGACTCTGCCCTTTTTTCTTCCAGCATTCAGCTTAGCTTTCCCTGCCTAAGTTCTGCCTTGCTATAGGTCCAAAGCAGTTTCTTTATTAATGGTAATCACAGTACACGGAGGGGATATCATGTTCAATTTCTTCATTTAACAAAAAGAAAAGAATAAAACTTTATAGTTCAGTTACATACATAAATATAGGTGACAAAGGACCACATTTCTTAGTGGAATGTACAGATATTAAAGTTCTAAAACAGCTCTAATGTAAATGAATGAAAACCATTAAGGGTAAGTTCCTTTTGCCACAGTCACTCATACATTGCTAGTTCCTATTTTAGAGCTTCTTTCATTTGACTCAAAGTTTAGAGATATAACCTATATCTCCCATGCTCTTGCTTAGCTTATGATCTTCATTACAATAACATTATACTCATAAATCATGAAATCTTGTTGAGTCTCTAGAAAAGGTGGCATCCTCAGGTGTCAACTTAGTTTTTTTTCAACAAGTTGTTTATAACAGGGTACATTTAATAAAAGAGAACACCCTTACATAGATTTCCCCCAGTGCAGCCTTGAAGACAAAATTCAGATGAAGTAGTAACAAAGTTAATTTGAGAATAATAAATTTTACTTAGATATAAGAATTTCAGCATATATCAGATAACAAGAAAAGAAAGTAATGAAAGAAAGATCATTTTAAAGATGAAAGCGCTATAATTACAGTTAACTACATAGACATATTTCTTTGACAAACATTGTTGTTTTAGACAACAATCAGCTCTGTTATGGGGTTTCATATATGTATATGTAAAATTATATATAGTAGGTGGACTATTGATCTGAAGAGAAAGTTCACAAAAGAAAATATAAAAATGACAAAGAAATTTCTCAGAATATGTTCATCATCTTTAGCGATTAGGGAAATGCAAGCTCAAGCAACTTTGAGAATTCATGTTACCCTTATAAAACAGAAGTTCTTGGGTTTGTGGTAGCTACAAACTCAATCTTCATAAAATGTTGAAATTCTACTTACTTCCTAACTGAAAGCTCCATTTTGCTTTTCCTTCTTTCCTTCTTTCCTTCCTTCCTTCCACCCTTTCTTCCTCCCACCCTTCCTTTAATTAATTTATTCATTTATATTCCTACTTTATTTCCCCCCCTCCTCTCTTCCCACTAATCCCCAAACTCCCTTCTTCCCCCAACCATCTTTTTCTCCTCCGTTATTATTAAGAAATCATTAAGCCTCCCAAATATTAAAAGAGACTACTGGAAAGTGGGGAGGGGATTTCAGGGGAAAGGTAGAAACCTGGTACAAGGGAAACTCCCAGGAATTTACAAGGATGACCCTAGGGATGACGCCAAGCAATAGGAATGCAAGCCTTAAGGGGACATCTCCTGTGAGCAGGCAAGACTTCCTGTGAAGATACTGGGACACTAACCAAACCATATAATATTGAACATATAGTCTGTCTTGCCTCTGGGATGTGCTGGGATAAGGGTGGTACATAGATGTGAGAGTGACTAACCAATGACTATTCCAGTATCAGATCTATGCTGAGAGTGCAAGCCAACTTCTTAGACTGCCTAGAGCACCAAGGCCCAGAGTCTGGACCCAGAGACCTAGGAGAGAACCAAAGTTGACTGGAGAAAAAAAAGTCAAGGTGATGGTAACTAATGATATTCTTCTGTAAACCTGCATTGGTTCCTAAACCAGTTGTCATCAGAGAGACTTCAACAACTGATGGAAACAGATACAGAGACCCACAGCAAAGCATTAGGCCAAGTTCAGGTAATCCTGCTGAAGAGAGATAGGATGGATGGTAGAAGACTGAGGGGTCAATAATATTATAAGAAAACACACAGTATCAACTAGCCTGGGCTCACAGAGATTGAACCAAAAACCTCAAAGCCTACTTACCTAGGCCCTATGAAAACCTGTGACAGATGTATTTCTTGGTCTTCTTGTGAGAATCCTAACAGTGGGAGCAGAAACTGTCTTTGACTACTGTTTTTGATTTTGAGATTTAGCTTTGATAATAAAAATAATACAGGAAGACACTGACCATATTGCTACCAAGGGAGTCCTATCCAGTTGTAGGGCCTATTAACCACAACAGTGTCCTTCTTGGCAATATATTTCTAAAAGCATAATGGTTGTCATACATGAGCAATCTATCTAATTGGGCTTAAAGCCTGCTCAATGCATTGGAAATTTTAACTGGTACTGGAATATACCAAAGTATCCAGGACTAGTTAGATCTTGGATATTAGAAGAGATCCTTCTACCACTTTACTCAACCATAATTTGTAACTGCACTTTAAATATGTATCATTATACCCATAGATAAGTATAGCTCTAATCCTTCATCAAGCATACCTTTATATGAAGAAGATATGCTTACAGAAAAGCACAACTGGTCAATATTCATAGACCAACTCATCTCATACCCATTCCCCAGACTCAATAAATACATCTACAATACAACATCTGTGCCTAATGCTCACGAACACAGTGCAAGAGAACGTAGAATGATTATAAAAGCCAGAGGCCAGGAAGTCAGTTCTGTGACATATATATCAAAAGAATATTGCTTTGCCTGACGACACATAGACTTCTGGTACATACAATCTTTCTGTATCTTCTAGTAAAAAAGCCCAGTGCTAGGAATGTGTTATGTCTCAAGACTGCTAGCCTGGAAGTCTTAGAGACATCCTAAAAGTAGTGGTTGGTGTCATTGTTCTTGGTTGCTCAAAAGAATTTATAGTAAGATCCTACTGCCCAAGGCATTATACATTTGAGACCTAGGAAGGTAAATCAAGCTCTTTCTGATCTAGAAGCTATGACTTTTGGCAAGCTTACATAGTTCCAGAGTTGCAATGTATTCTGCTGAGGGCAAACAGTAATCAACAGTCTTGCCCAGTTGTGAACCCTGGGGACTACAATATCGACAAGCCTGGCAAGATAATGGCCACAAACACAAAAGTGACATGACTTCGATGAGGGTAAAATGATGATTTCTGAGTGAATTTATGGCACTCCTCACAAGAGGAAACTGCTTTCTGGTGATGTAAAACTAACCAGGAAGCCTTGGTAAGGAAGGTCATACATCCTAGAGGAAAATCTATTATTCTGATTTTGCTAAGTGCATATATGTCCAAAGTGTTTCTAAATACATATCACTACAACCATATATTATCTTGGCTCTCATTCCTCATCAAAAAGGCTTATTTATGTAGTGGATAACAGAGAATATTGAAAATTACGATTAGTCAAAGTGAAAAAAATAATTTTTGTTAAGTTCTCAGTTACAAATGGCAGATATATATATACTGAGATACATAGATACATAGATACATATATGCATATATCACACCCTATCCCCAGGTTTCAGGAACAGCAGACAGAAATGAAAGACTAGTCATTCCAATTACTGACAAAATGATAATATGTGCAACGTACAATATCTTTATCTTCTGTAATTACAAACATTTATTGAATTTTTTTCATTCTGAAAATAATACATTGTTATTTTATAAAAGTTCAGGAAAGTCCTTGGGATGTTGTTATTAAAATAGCTAGGACCTCAATCACTATATTGAATATATATGGAGAAAGTGGACAACCTTGTCTTTTTCCTGATTTCAGTGGGATTGCTGGGAGTTTCTATCCATTTAGTTTGATTTTGGCTGTTGGCTTACTGTATATTGCCATTATTATGTTTAGGTATGTTCCTTGTGTCCCTGCTCTCTCCAAGACTATTTTTTTTTGACTAGTTGCTTTCTAAAGAGATACCAAGACGGTTTGGAATTAAATAAATGTGGAGAATGAGTAAGGGGAAATTATGATCAGAATATGTTGTATGAAAAATATCTTCAATATACAAAATGAAAAAAATCTGTTCTCCCAAGAAAACCTTAAATATCCAAATTATGTATTTTCCAAACAATTTTGTTCCTTTGACTGTGTCCCTTTTTCTGGCACTGATGACCCTATACGTAATTTTATTCTGCTACTAGAACTGTAAGAAATTTTATATCCATCATGGAATATATACCATATAATATTTTCCTGTGTCTAGCTTTTTTAACCTTAGAATAACAACCTTGATATTTACCCACTGTCATAATAATATGACAAGTAATAATATAACAAAATCATATTTTAAGTTGAGAAATATTCCAGAGTATATACTATTGACACAGAAAAATGTCTTTATGTGTTCATATCTTTATAAAAACATAAGGTGTATGTTTTGGATATCACAACT